ACTTTCCAGATAAAATGTGGTCGGCGAGGTAAGCCAAAGGTGTTGCATGCCAACAGGCTTTGGCGTTATCATGGCTCAGGACATTTCAGTTGGGATCAAGTGAACAATGGAACAAATGATGCTACTGAAGACGTGTCACCTGAAAAAGCCACTGTCGAAGAAGAAACTCTACTCGGTTTTTAAAAGGGAAACAGTGAAGCCCTTGGTGAAGTTACTACCACTGATGTGACTGTTACCAATGATAGGACGTTTCCCGATGAAGCAGAAGCCAACGAGAACGAGACCAGTACGGAAGAAGATACGTCCCATAAAATTAAGAGACTTTGTTGAATTTTAATTTTGTGTTTGTAAATTCTGTACATTCAATTAAGTTATTGTTAATTGTTTATTGGTTTAATGTAAGTAGCTATTGTTCGGGCCGAACAATACTAAGGAAAGAGCAGTGTTACAACAGCTGGGGTCACGTGACACTAACAACACGTCATATTCTCGAAGGTTCGTGAATCCTCGAGTGTTTACTAGATTTGCGGTATTCTTGTATATATAAGACGGCCAAGAAGTGACGGCAACAATGTAATTGAACTGCAGACAGAGATAGAGATTGACGATTGAGTCGAGCACGTGAGTCGTTCGTTGTGAATTATAGCGTTTGTTATAGCGCGACCGTGGAAATTAAGTGAATTCCAAAGTTGTATTCAGAAAGAATAAACCAGTTTTATTTAAGAAATGACTTGTATCGTTAAAGGTTTCTTCGGAAAGAATTTTTATGGAAAATTAACAAACGAACACAGAGGCGTAACAATATTAAACGTTAGGCAGTCCTGGGCCTAATCTCATCATCCATTCTGGCTCCAGAAACCAGATTTCAAGGTCTGATGTGGTAAATGAATAAGCAACTTCGAATGCAAACAGACATTCATCCATATTCAGATACTTGAAAGTCTATGGTTGTTCAAACCAGCTAACCTAATGTTAGATGTGAGCTGATTTCTGTGCCCACCCAAGCAAGTGGCTAGACTAAGCTCAGGCTCAATTAGTATAAACTAGGCAGAGAAACTCCACTCATACTTTGCCATTAATTTCCTACATTGGCTGTAGTGTCAGTTGAAATGACAATAAACCTGTCTTTTAACAAAATATGAACATTATCATATCCAATAAGCCACAGTTGAAAAAAGGATTCGTTCCCTCACATACTGACATTTTTGGGAACCCAATTCTTGCTGCATAGATGGAGTATCCATGAAAAAAGGCCTGGGAAGTCTAGTTGTCCCATTAGGAACCATGGTAATTGTACCATAATACGTTGTATTGTCTGTTGCAGTTGGGTTGTGAGTGATGCTTCTGTCGAGCTCTGGGCCGGTCAGAAAACCTGGAGGTTGCCTATTAGCATAATATCATGTTGCTGTATTATTCTTCTGCTCCAGTATTCTGTTTGATGCCATCCAATTGAATCATGTCACCAAAACCTGCATGTCACTGAAATCCACATAGTGCCAGAAGAGTCTGCAGAGTAGCTCCTTGATGCATATCTAATCTCAGTCGACAGGAGAAATGCATAGGAATACTTTCTTTTGCAATCTCTTTAACTTACCTACACCAGTGTTAGGTTTTCAAAAGGCCCTTGCCTATAAACTTGGCTCTGTGGATTGTTGCTCCGTTCCCCACTATGGAATCTGCAATGCAACTAAGTGACAACTGTGTCCCGATCATTGATCTGTTCCTCATCTTAGTGCTCTAGGGAACCAAACTCAATATTAGATGTTCTGTCCCCTTCCATGGAATAAGTTGGTCAAATGGCTGAGAAAATCATACGTGTTCTATTTTGCTATCCCTTTAAATGCCAAAAGGTTAACTTCTTTTCAGGATCATCATTGTAAGACAGTGGTGCAAAAGACAACCAGTAGAGGTCAAGTTGCAACATCCAAGGTTTCTTTTAAGTGTTTGTTAACCTCTCAGTCTAAAGAATAACAGACAATAAACTTTACTAGGGAGCTAAGAGCTGCTGAAACCCCTCAAACAAAATCTTAATAATATTCAAAATCTAAGATCATTGTTCAAAATGTTCCAGACTGAGAAAACATCATGTTATATACTTAAAAATATAACATCATATTTTCCCAGGGTGACTTGTGCTCCATGTGACTATTAGTAATTCCCACTGATCGCAATTAACAGATCAGTGGAAAAGTTTACTGTCTATATTTGCAAACGTTATGGTTAACAGGAACATAAAGGTAATTTTCTTGGTGAATGACACAGAACAATAGGTACCTAAAGTGAAAGGATTTGGTTTGGTTTGAATTTCGCACAAAACTACACGAGGGCTATCTGCGCTAGCTGTCCCTAATTTAGCAGTGAAAAACTAGAGGAAAGGCAGCTGGTCATCACTATTTACTGCCAACTCTTGGGCTCCTCTTTTATTAACGAATAGTGGGATTGACTGCCAAATTATAACGTCCCCACGGCTGAAAGGGCGAACATATTTGGTAGAACGGAAATTCGAACCGCGACCCTCAGATTGCGAATTAAACGCTCTAACCACCTGGCCAGTAAAAGGAGATTTACGACTTTATTGAACATGTTAAGTGAAAAACCGCATATATATATAACTTAATAATCAACAACAAAAAGAATGAAAATTTTTATGTTAACACAAGTAGAAACAACATGGTATGCAGGCATACCTTTATATTTTAGTATAGAAGTTTTCAAAATTTTACGTTTTTCCTGAGTTTGGAATAATATAGACATCGACGATATTATTTTATGGTAGGGCAGATGATATCTAGAGGTTACGAATGAGAATGACTATTCACATTGGTAATGCTAGTGGCTATAGGGAAATCCAATGTTTCTTATTAAGTAAGAGATCTAAACGTCACTACACAGGATTTATAGTGAGCTGGTGGAAAGGAAAACATTTTGAGGGAAAAAGTCACTTGATCAATTCACGAGTCCGCACACTTTGTTTTTATTTATTGATTTAATAACGATTGTTTTCATTTTCTATTACACATCTTATCCAATCTATTCATTTTTTTAAACTCAGTCAATTTAATTATATTCGGTATTAATTTGTAATTTTTCGCCGATCCTCTCGTTATAAAGCAAATTACATAGTACTCTTTGCAGAAATCAGTTTAACTTGAGGCTACTACACCTGCCTACCATACTAGTTATAAAAGAATGAAATTATGTTCTTTCAAGTGCGACAAATTTGATATTTTGAAGTAATGTTTTGAGAATAGATTGGATTCGATCTGCATTTTTAGCCTTTTAGTACACATTTTATCAAGCTCAGTTCCTAGGTTATCAGTCCGTCGCTGGGACAGCGGTAAGTCTACGGACTTACAACGCTAAAATCCGGGGTTTGATTCCTCGTGGTAGACACAGCAGATAGCCAAATATGTCTTTTCTTTCTAACCTGAAATCTATGCTACTTGCTTAAAAATAAACAACAATAATTATTTTAGCAAAACTTTCCGGTTCATTCGTTTTTTTTTTGTCCTTTTTGTTCACTCTGCGTAAAATGAGCAAATAAGAGGAATTGTATTGGTCTTCACGCTTCCAACTGTATAATCTTCAGTATAAAAATGATGTTAATATATAATTATGTTTTATCACGTTTTCCCTTTATATAAATTAGTGTTTTGTTAATTTTTGGGAGAGAGGGGGAGGTTTCACTACAAATGTAACTATTCTAAGTTTTGTGAAATAAAATATTTCAACACGCTTCATTAACGTTTATCTCTTTCTTTAGTCTGTTACGACAGCGGAAGTCACACGACGCTGGAAGCATGCGCGCTGGAGTTTCTAGAAGGATCATGACTGTTCCTGGCAACTCTAGTCTTTTCTAGGTGCCCTCTTTTTTGTATATAAGCCTGGCAAATAATGTGAAGATAGAATGATTGCAGATAGACAGATAATTGAGTCAAGCGAGCGGTAGTGGTCGTAGGTAAAGAGCGTGAATCGTTGTGAATTCTAGCGTGTGTTTAAGTTAAAAGTGACTGTGGAAATTCTGTGTATTGCAAAGTTGTATCGAGAAAGGATAAACTAGTTTTAATTAAGAAATAACTTGTATCGCTGAAGTTTCTCGGAAAGCATTTTTACCGGAAATTAACAAACGAACAGAGGCGTAACAAGTCCTTAAATGGTTTTATCTTTGTTTTACGTAAGAGAACATAATAAACGCAGTATTTCAGTGTAGGCTGAGCAATAATTTTTTGTAAACATATACGTCATCCTAAACTATTTATATTTTTATACTGTGATTATTTCATCACATCCTCTTATATAAAAACTTTAAAAAGCTTCGTGAACGTCAAACTCGCCATTTGTAAAACTCCATAAAAAGTAAACTGGATCCAAAAGTTTCAAATTAAGGTAAAACAGAGGGCGCTGCAAATTATCAGCTGGTAACAAAGCATGGCGGAAGGACAATTTTCTGTGAGGAACCAAAATGTTTTGTTTAGGAATCGTTTCATCGTCAAACATAAACCTTATCGAGTGAGTTTAACCAGTGATTATATATGTTGGGAACAGGAAACAAGGACAGATCGTAAGTATAATATTAGATGAGCTGTTGCTTTTCCCGTAATTATAAATTATGGTACAGTTTGACTTCCAACTTCATCATGATCAACCTGTTACTGTAAATTTATTATCAGTATTACGCAGCAGAATGTGCAGTACTTGTGCGAAAAAACTTTAGGATTTTGGGAGCGTTTTGTTTCAGTTTCTTGGCTGTTTCCAGGAGTTGGCAATAAAATAATATAGCTTCACGATTGTCATGTTGACAGCATTCTGTTTTTTAATTATTTTTTTGTGGGGGGGAATAGTACAGCAGGAAATAAATACTTTAAAAACTTAACTTTAAATACATAAACATAAACTAAAGCATTTTCCAAATTAAAAGTAAAAGTCTTAGGTTTTACAGTAGTTTTATTATGTGACAATGCACCAAAAGTTTGCACCAAATATTTTTTGATAATGTATTGTTGCAAGATAGTGCAAAATTAATTTACATATTTGACATGTTTGCTTATTAAAATTATGTACAGATTACATTTAATAAATTTTGTTTGAGAAGTTAAAATGTGATTTGAACATATTGTTGTTTCACATAAAATAATCTCGAATTTTATTTTTAACTTCAAATTGATATTGGCCATGGAGATGGTAATTTTATTATTAGTCTTACTCTTGTTTTTTGTTACATATTTTTGGCTGTGTAAAAAAAATACTAATGTAACATGTTGATTTGTTAACCCAACAAAGGTTTTAGAACAATTTAACATAGTCCATAATGTTAAACTAATTGTACAATAAAGAATTTATTAAAACTGAGGACCAGCCCTAAAAATACTCTACATGTTACTTTGTTCTACACACATCATTTTATAGATGGGGCAGAATTTTGAAATATGTGCTGATTTCAAAAATATTGTTTGCCAAGCTTTTTTTTTTAAATCTTTGATCCTCAATTTTCAAAAACAAAATGGCAGCTATATTACATATTCAGTATCTATGATTTGCTGCTTTTAGCCAAAAGTAAGAGTTGCTTGTAAGAAAATATTGTCAGTTTTTTTACCAAAAGCTTTTTAAATATGTGAAATGTTATAATTTTCTGATGGGTAGGGCTTGGAAAAAAAATCTCGGGCATATGTAAGCTAGTTGGTTATTTAATCAGTCACTGTCTCTGAACTCAGGAATACCTTGACTGATTAGCTACAGGTTGTATATGTACACTAAGTATGAATTTTACATGACTCAAGAAAAATATTGTTGAATAGATGCAAGATATCAAGTTTACTGTAATAATAGTAATATAGCAATAAGATATCCATTTTTGCCAAGTGTTCCATAACTGTATTATCTCAGTCATAGTTATGTTCTGAAAAGAAATGTTTCATGAACAACTGTTTTTATTTTGTACCAAGTTTTAAAGAATATATCTTAAATATCAACCAGTATCAATTGGCAGATTCAAAATATTGTTTTCCATTCATAAATTTATACATGTTCTCTCTTATTTGTTAATCGTGTTAGCATTGCTCATCTACTTGCAATTGACTCCTTTTCTCTTCTTATCACATATTCTAAATTTTGAAATGAATAAAAAACACTTGCATAGCTGACAAATACAACATTATTATTGAATATCTTTCAACATTTTGTCTTAAACATTTTACTGTTTGGTTGAATCCAGTCCAAGACCACTTAGGTTTGTGCTTTTCTGATTGTCTCATGAGCATGAAAGCAATGTCTGTAGCCTGTGCTTTCAGTGCTGATGGACAGTCCTTGATGCAATTGTTGACCCACTTCACTTTAATAGATTCTTTAAATTGTGCATGAGTTGTGCCAAGTATGTAGCAGTCAAAATGGTATTCATAGCTTTTGGAATGGTCAGAGTCTCATTTTTAGAGAGTTCAGTGCTATCAGGTAGATTAACAGTTGTTTGCCCTCTTTTCTAAGCTACTTCTTGAGTACTGTGAAAATTGTTCTTGCCAGTCTTGTCTCATGTGAAATATACAGAATGATTTTTGACTAGGTTTGAAGGAATAACAGCTCCATTTTCATCCATTGTTTTCGGTGTGTTTTCAGCCAAGGCCATATCAGCTTTTGGTATGTCTCTATAACTGATGATATGCCTAGCATTATGAAACATTTATTCGATTTGATTTAAATGTGTTGCCTACTGAATACTCCTACTCAGCCCTGTGTGCTTAGGTGTTAAATATTTATTCCCACTTACTCTATAGATAAGATCTAGCACTATACTTAGGATTTGACAGTAGCTGAAAGTTGTTGTTTTTTCTGCCACTATGTTGTGGATTGTTGTCATCTTCACCTTCTTCCAGCAGATGCTGAGTACCAAGTAATAGATTGAGAAACATGCACAAAGCCTAATGCATATTGTTTACTGACATCAATACTTTTGTAGAGTGAATGGGAAGGTATGTCGCTTCTGATGTTCAGTTTGACATGGATCATGAAGAGAAATTTATCATCTTCCTGTGGTTTTAATGCAGGTATAGTGAGAGATTTTTCATCTACAGATTTTTTCATCATTGAAACAGGGACATAACCAAATTTTATAGGAACTAGTACAGTGCATTGTTGTGTTGGTTCTTGATCACAAAGAATAGAAATTTCGTAGAACTTTGCTAAGCTGTTTTTCTAACTTGATCTTGATGATAGTTATTTCATTATTGAACAAATGAGAAATTTCAATACTGGACTCTTTAACAATTGCTTAGTACCTATTACACACCTCCCATGCCTGTAATATATCACTGTGTTCAGCAGAATTTTGCAGTTCATCATAAAGCCAAATCTTTATAATATTTGAATAGTTGCTGTTTTGTGATTGGTCTTTAAGTTCAGTCATGTTTCTTGTGAATTTCATGTAGCAAGTAAAGTGGTACTTTCCCTCGGAAGCAATCAGGTCATTTATGCCTGCAATGCATATTTCAATCTCCTGATCAAGCAGTGTTGCACTCAATATTTTTTGGCTCGTATTGAATGTGGTAACAGATGTCAACTTTTTGGCTGGAATATATTCTTGACAGAAGAGGCACAATTCCCAATAATTGGCAGTATACTGCTATAAAAACCTTATGTATAGTCACATACTTCTTTGACAGATGTTGACTGATAGCCAGAACCACAAGAAGCAGTACATTCTAGAATATTGGTTTTCTTTAGTCTGTATTTTTTATCTACTTGTATAAATAGCATAATAGTTGTTGTGCCAAACTAGGGATGCTTTGGGAGACTAATCTAACACTGTTAATAGCCTATCATGTATTTGTATTTCACATCTCAAAACTTCTGGTGCTCTTTGTAACATTAGCAATAGTGATCAATCCTTTTGTGCACTATTTTTTTGGCTTATAATACACAGGTTAAATTATACTTGTCTCATTCTTTTAAAGGTTAATGATGCTTCCACATTGTCAGTAGTTAGATGCCACTATCTGCAATAGAGAAATAAATTATAAATGCTACCTTGCTGCTAGAATATTACTGGATATGATCTCTGACATTAAAAATAAAATAAAAATATTTGGTACTTGCCCCCCAACCCCAACTCCCATGGAAAATGAGAAACATAACCATAACTGTTTTTATTTATTCAGCATATGTATATGAATTTACAAGTTTTTTTATTCACTTCACAATTTCACACTACTTATTACACTTAATTTTCAATTCTATTAAAAGTCACCAGGTTTGTCAGCAGCTTTACTTAAAATCTCTTGGTGCCTACCCTATAGCTAAGTATTGAAAAATTTCGCTACCATGGCAGTTTCTTGGGTATTGGACATGACAATTCTCACTCGTTTCATCAAAACATGTCGCAGTAAAAAATGCATCAGAATTAGGAAAATTACTCTCGGGAATAGGAGAAGAGTGCATTCCAGGGCCCTAAGGCGAGCTCAGCACCTTGGCTGTAGTATTTTGTTTCACTCGATCAAATAAACCTTTAGTCTCCCCTATTTTATTTTGCATCTTACACTTCTGATATATAAATACATTCAGTAGAATACTTTATATTTTTCACTGTAAATATGTTTATGTTTTATTTCTTCTTGCTATATGTTTATGTTCTGATAAATTCCACAAAAAATTGATGCAACTCGCGTGTGATTTGTCTCAGGCATAAAATCATTTAGGATCGTATAAACATATTTTTTTCCACACATTCTTTGTTTTCCAGCTGACCAGATGCAGGATTGTACCTTAAAAGATTTGCATTTGAAAACTATCCAGCAATTTTTTGCAGCTTGAAAGATTTTATATTTAGCTTATTTATAAATTCAAGTCATTAAGTGATAAATATTAAAAATTGTTATTTTGATCAAGAATCAAGGTTATTTATTGCTGCATATATTACTTAAGAATCTTTAATTTATCTTTAAAATTAATGACCCTGGTGGCTCAGTGGTAAGCCTAAAATTTGGGGTGTTCTCATTCTCATTTGTTAAATCGAATCTTTGAATATAGTCAAGTTGAAAGTACATCTACTCAGCACTACCAACCAGACATACCTGATCTTATGAAAAGTCATCATATCTAAGGATTTCTTTGCTTATTACAGGATCTCTGTTATTGTTCATTTGTAGAATTAGTTGTTAATGAATTTTACTTCCTGAACCATACTTGTAAAGTAAATCTTTATAGTTAATAATTTGTTAATAGGAAATGAGTCTAGTCATAAATATTCTTATACTTGAATTCTCCATAAAATGTAGGTGGATTCTGCTTTAGCACTTCATGTACCATCATGTTCTCAATCACTTAAAGTTCTTTCTAATGAGCATAACCTGCTACATAGAACAATGTTTTTGTAACAATAAAAGTAGTACACACCTACACACAGAGGGTGTCTGAAAGTTATGGGACATATTGTAAAGTTTAACCACAACAAAACAGTAACAGTTACGAACTTGTATTGAGTGATGGATTAAAGGCACATATATGCGATATTTTCTGTAATATGTGTAATTACATGAATAGCATGCACATTCAGTAAATATGCCATTAATAAACCTAGTGACGGAGAAGGCTATGTGTGTCCTGTGGATAGCAAAAGTGAAATTGTCCATTCCAGTGCAAAGACAATGTTGTAGAGTATATCTTAAAGATCCACCAGTTAAAACTTCTATCAAGAAGTGGTACTGACAGTTTCAAGAGTCAGGAAGCATGTTACACAAGAATGGAGCTATGATGGATTGATTCCTTGGCTGGCACAGTTGTCAGACATCACTACTGTGAACTTCTTTTTTGGGGGCTTATGGTGAAGTATGCTGTCTACAACACAAAGGTGACTGATCTTGAGACACTGAGATGCAGTGGTTACTGTGATGTCTTAGTGTGTCATCCAACACATGGATGATGATCGAACATCACTCAAAATCTTGATGGCTAGCAACAGAGCATGTTTAGAGGTGTCTTGATGACAGATGGTGTGTGGCAGAAAACTGCCCTTCATCCACTACAAACCATAAGTTTGTAACTGTGACTGTCTTGTTGTGGTTTAGGTTTGGAATATGTTGTATAATTTTCAGACATCCTGTACATACAATGAGAGTTTTGATTATGTTGAAATGGCATGTGAAATTGTTATACAATTAACAAACTACATATTGTAGTTTTGGCTAAAGTTTCTTAAGAGCACCACATTTTAAAGATTTTTATATTCTGTCTTATAGTTTTTTGTTTCATTTTCTAACTAGTCAGGACAGTACTGCCATGGGAAGAAGTTATATCTTTGTCTCCTTGTGACTGTGATATTTCTGCAAGACATGTAAAGTGTCAGTATTGTCAATACAATCCTGATCAATGTAGGACTGGACTTGGAGAGCAGGTTCCTCTTCAAGCAAGAGCAGTGAAACTCTACTATGCTGAACGATGTGGCAAGTATAAATGGAGATTAGCTACAGTGACTTTCCATCCACAGAAAGGTTTTGTGGTGAGAGAGTTACTTGGGGCAGCAAAAAAAGTTTTACAAGGTGAGAATTTGTTTTTAGCCGTAGTATTCAGAGTATGAAAAGTAGTCTTTTAATGTATGACTGAACAATTCTAGTTATGCATATAAATGTTAGACCTAAGTATGAAGATAATGGAATACATTTGTAACTTATTAAAATAGTGTTTTCCATATAGTGTAAACCAGCATAAATAGTAAATACATGTAAACAATATATAATGCAAGTTCCTACACTATCAATATTAGTATGGTAAGGTTTTGCTTTTTATTGTTTAAGAATAATGAAGATTTTGTGGTGTATTTTCCTTAAAATTATTACAAAACATATTTTATGCTCCTTTTATTTTATTTGTTTCTCTACCAAATATTTTTTTTATAATTTAGCCTACTACAATTTTATAAATAAATTTCATTATTATTTTCCAGGTTTTCCGTGTTTTATCTTTTGAATTATTAAAAATCAGACTTATACTGAGGGTTAATCATAATCTGTAAGAATGATGTTTAATTCCTTTTCTGTCTTTGGAATTATTTCTGCTGTCATCAGTTGTGCTTAACCTGATGGCCATGATTACAAATAATGCCCAGCACCACAGTTTCTGTTGTGAATGATAATGAGGCCATTTGTAGATCATATATCTTGACAAACTTTCTACATATCCTCCACCGTTCTTGAACACCATCTTCTAAGACTAATGGCTTCTAATTATGCCACTGTTTTTATGGGTAATATTGAAAGCCAACTCTTACAACTAACTAAAACCTCTTACATGGAAATATTACATAGATGACATATTTTTAATTTGAACAGCCGGCTTTGAATCACTTAAAGAATTTATTTCATATGCAAACATCTTTCACAAAACAATCAAGTTTACCTTTGATTACTTTCCCACCCAAATTAACTTTTTTGACATCACTGTCTTTATAAATGATGGAATTTTACTCACTGACTTATACAAAAACCTACAGACAGACCACAATATCTTTACTATAAAAGCTGTCACCCCACTCACACTAAATGGAACATTACCTACAGTCAAGCTCTTAGAATAAAGAAAATCTGTTCAGATAAAGCAGATTACAGAAAGCACATCAAGGATCTAAAACAAACCATGTTACAAAGAGGATATAAAGACATCAAAATTGACAAACAGATCGAAAAGGCTAACAACACTCAATGGAAAAACATCCTAAAACAGAGTAATACTAAAGTTTCAAATAGAATTCCTGTTGTTAATACTTATCACTTGAAACTCAGAAATGTTTTGCACATTCTGAAAAAACATTTTCATCTTCTACAACTGAATGATCACCTTAAACTGATATTTCCTGAAGTTCATTTTGTCTCCTTCTGGAAAAGCAGAAGTCTAAAAGATATCCCTCTTCATGAAAAAGAGAATTACATCCCACCAAAGAATGGTTGTCATCCATGTAATAAAGATTGTTGTCAAACCTGCAAGTCCAAAAAAGCAACTGATTGTTTTTTCTCTGAAACGCATAACCCAAGAAACCATAAGTCTTCTGTTAACACCAAAAAAAATCTCCCTGTTGCTCAACACTTCAACTAACTCAGTAATTCTATTCATGATGTTACTCTTATCAGCATTGAAACTGACTTTAAAACTAAAGCTAATAGAGAGATTAAAGAAGTTTATTGGATTGCTTATCTAAATACTGTTCAACCTTGTGGAATAAATCTAGATCCTGGAATCGGTGATCTCCAATCATTGGTTTGTTCTCTGTCAAAAAATGTTTTAGTTTTTTCATGTAGTGTGAACTCTCAGTATTTATCCATGATCTTTCTAATACTCACTATTTATTTATGATAATTTTCCATGCCTGTCTTTAGAAATTGATCTGCTTAACATTTCATTTTCAGTCAGTCTCCATTTGTCACCTTTATTTTATGTTAACAACAATTAAGTATAGTTTTTCTTGACCATATCTATCACCTTTTTACATAATGCTCTCATTTCTGGCTGTATTGCATTGTAAATGAGATATACTTGCAACATTACATTGGAAAATATACAAAAAAAACTTTCTGGAAGCCCAGGTAACCTTCCTGATCTCGCTAAACTCCCTTTATACATCACTCATTGGTTACACCACCAATGTTTCTTCTAATTTTATCAATCCATGTGCAGAATTAATTTTTTCATGTGCACCAGTATCAAGGCATTGTGCAGATGTGTGCTACCAGTTTGTTAGTTGTTGTTTTTTTTGGTGGGTGGGTATTTTTAGACCATCGACCCTATTGGATCATTAAGCCTCTTTGCAATGCAACCAGTTGGTTATTTGGGCTTTAGGTCTATCAACTGCCAGCGTCATTAAGGCCATCAATGTGTTGAGGCTCCACACCATTTCTGAGGATGTGTGTGTGGTGCTTGATTGGTTGTTTTGCAGCTGTGCAACTTAGAGGTAACACCACTATTCCCTTTTTGCCTCTGTGGAAGAAAGGTCCATCTTTCAAAAGCACTTGAGTTATAGGGTTTTTATCATTTTATTCTCAGGCTGTGTTTAAGCAGACCAAAGACAAAAATCCAACAGACATGTTTTTATATGAAAACAGCCAAATTGACTTTGAGATGTGGCTATAAGCTTTGAAACTTTTGGCATGAGATTACTCATCATCTTCACATTCTATTTTATTATCTTGTTAATGGTACAGGAAGATATGCCCAGCTTTATCACATTGGCTTTTTGTGGTAAAAGGTTTTCTTCCACAACATTAGCTTTCACATTGGAGATGAGGCATTGCTTTCAGGTCAGGTCAACTGTTCACAAAGAGTTTCTAATAGTTTACTGTAAAGAAAAATAAAATGTTTATCTTAGAAAAAGTACTTTATACAAGAAATGGGCACTTGTGGAGAATTGTTATGACAAAGGAGTGAAGGTTTGTTTATATCTATAGGTCTTAATCGACCACACCGACTACTAATATTTATCAACCCCTATGGAGGTAAAAAAGCAGCACTTCAAATATTTGAAAAGAAGGTGGCTCCTCTTCTTCAGCTTGCTGGCATTGATATAGAGGTTATTGGTAAGTACAACTGTAGGTAAAGAATTTTATACTTTTTTTTTTTAAATACCTCGCGTATGGTAGAGCATACTTGCCAACTCTCATGATTTTGGTGGAAGTTTCCCAAATTTAGACCTTTGACCCAATCTACTGATCAACTTTTAAAAACTTTGTTATTTCTACCAATTTTAGGCATGTACACCAATTTTTTTATTTTTCTGGAAATCTACCAATTTGTGTAACTGTAATTAACTTTTTCGTACATTAAAAATTTCCCGGTAAATATCAGCTAGTTGTTTGTTCTGTATAGCAAAACCAGTTGAGTAAACACATGAGTCATACTGGAAATCGGGCTTCACTTTCTTCTTAGCCAATGAAAACCAGTTATACAAATAAGACATATTTATCGTTCTAAACCAAGCGTGATTGGAAATTGTTTGATTTGTTGCGAGTTGCACAAAATCTTCCCCATGAGAATTTTTAAAAGTTGGCAAGTATGGTAGAGGGAAAATTAGAAAAAATTAGCAAATTAAGTTTATAATATCGTACCAAAATATATTAATCAGGTTATAATGTTACTGAGCTCATTTTATTGTATACATTAAAGAAAGCATCTTATTTTAGTCTCTTTTAGTCACATTCAGGTAAGAAAAGTAAGATTTGTTTGAAATAGTAGTACCAAACTTTAATTATTATTTATTTTGTGAAATTTGAGTATTTTATAGACTAGCTCATTTACCATAAGTGAATTTGTTGTTTTCAGCTTTATAAATGTTATTTGTCTGTTTAGCTTGTACATTCTTTATTGGAATATGCTTAACTTACCAAGTCTAGAGAAGTGTACATAAAAAATAAAAAACAAAGAATAATGCAATATGAGGTCAGCTATATATTATATCAACATGAAATTTATTTTTTATTTTTTGAAATGTATAAACAAGAGCCATTACATAAAAGTTACAATTATTCCTTTCTTTAATTAGCTTATTTTGTTTTTCAGAGTGAAACATTATTTAGTTATTAAACACATCCAATCCTAGATGTTTATAAAACCAAAGTTTATGATCCTACCTGCTTGTTTGAAATGTCAAAATAGTCAAGAACTTTGCTTGGAATAGGAAAATAAAGTAGCTTAAATAGCTATCGTCTACTTTTGTATATGTCATATTGTTCCACTCTTAATGCTTAAGATTAACAGATTTTCCATTAACTGATAAATATTGATCAGAATCTGTTTTTTAAGCTTCTGATCAGCAGAGACAAAAGCTGCTGGTCATTCCGACTGGCTGAAAAATCTATGAGGGGCAACTATCTTAGTGCATGTGTACTAAGTCTCAATTTAAAAAAAAATATATTTAAAAACTCTTGGTCTTCGTTTTTCTATGTCATGTGAAGTGTTTGAGCTCCAATTTCATTACTTCAAAATTTTCTAAGATCAAAATAGGTTGCTGTAGTTTCCAACCAGTTACAAACACAAACTGTTCATAATTAAAAGCAATAATCTAAAATTTGAGCTTTCTACCTTCTTCATCAATAAATTTCTTTAACCTACCAGAGAAACCTTCACACTGTTATTTTCAAGAATGTTTGTTAATCGACTTTACATGACTGATGGACATAATTTGAGCTTTCTACTTTCTTCATCAATAAATTTCTTTAACCTACCAGAGAAACCTTCACACCATTATTTTCAAGCATGTTTGTTAATCGACTTTACGTGGCTGATGGACATATTTATAGCCAATGGAAAGAACAGGTTCTCCTCTACATAAATCTTATAAGTTGTTGTTTAGTTTTCATGCCATAACAGTTAGTTGGCATTGCTTGATTTATGATGATAATATTTTGGTGCTCTGAATCCTAAGGAAATTTGTTAATGTACAGCTTACTTAGAAAACCAGATAAATATATATAATGCCAACATGAGAAAAATATGTATAAAATGAACAACAAAAAACATATAATAAAACATGTGCTTCTCTATATGTGTTTTTTTATGTTCGTACTTCTATTTTTGAAATATCTATTTCAATCAGTTGATAGAGGAAGTCCCATATTTGTTTTTAACAAGTTTTTTCACAGATTGAACATTCAGCACATACGAAGACTGACATATCAATGTTGATATTGATATGAACTTTTAGGAATTGTAAAAAAATCAATAATTTTTCTGTAATTTACTCATGAAAATAAGCAGTTTGATATGTAATTGTTTTTGTACAAGTAACTTTTCAGTAGATACAGAGCATGACAGACATTTGGCTATTTTATATATATATAGAAATAGATTATTATGTATAACTTCACAGATACAGGTAAGTCTAACAAATGGTAGGTTTTGACTTTCAGAGGTTCAGAATACATTATCAAATGAAATTTCAAACCTTTGCTTGTACTAATTTGCATAATTTACTGATTAAGTAACCATAATGACTATTTTATATTTCATTGAAAATTTTTTATACTTTACAGGTAATATGTATAAATGAAATAAAACAATAGCGTGTAGTTTGAAAATGCATTATATAGAACAGTAATCATGGTTTTATATCTCAAATAAAATATGCACATTGTATATTTCTTGGATGCTATGTAAGATACTTTTATAGTACAAACAGTAAACTTGAATTGCTAGGGAACCCTGTTTCAGCCAATTAAAATAATATCATTTGATTTAAGCAAAACAAATCTTTACTTACACTATTATAGATAAATTAACAGTCATTGTCTCTTTAGTATAAAGTTGTTGGTTAATTAAACATACATAATAAATATAATATATAAGCAGGAAAACAGAGTAACACAAACATTTCAATTAGAAAATATATACAGACCTTTAATGATAAAAAAAAATATATATATATAAGAAAGAATGTTATCAGTCACCTTTTTGTTTTTTAACAACATTATTGATTAATTAAAGATATGCTATGGGGAAGGAGAGTGAGTGTAGTTATACTGGTGTTCATTTTTCAACATTAAAATTATTAGTATTAGCATACTTGCTCAGTTTCATACTTAATCTACCACAGAGCTTCTCTTACATCTCGTATACAGTACATTTTATTGAAACAGTGCAGCTGGTATCTGCACCCCTGCTCGCTCATAATGGTCTGCTCCAGTGCATGGAAGGAGCTACTGCATATTAATGTTTTGATGTTGTTGTTTTTGTATACAACTTATGTTTAAGTAATGGGCATTATACAAATCAAAAGACTGAATTTTCCATACGAGTGACATAATGTGTGATTAATATTCAAACATTGTCAAATGGTTTCTGTTAAAACAAGAATCAAAAGTCTGGCATTATTTGACTGCTTCCTGATGAACCATCAGATGTTTAGAAAACTGGGTTATGACACCTGATTCAAGACACCTATTGCTGAGGATATCTAAGGTAATAGCAAAGAGATTGAATCCTTCAGTTTCTGTCAGTGGATATAGGGAGAGAAGGATTTTAGTTGGAATTTGGTACAAATCACCAGATGAAACTGATGAAAAAACTGCAGTGCAGCTAAGATCAGTGAGGTCATAATTATGATGGATTTTAATTTGTGACATATAGATTTGGAAATATTAGAGTCAAACCAAGAAGGAGATGGGAGTTTTTAGGATCTGTTCAGAATCATTTTCTGCAACTGATCAGGGAACATACTAGGAATATGCCATTTTAGATTTATTGTTGACTTATGAAATTGAAATGATGGAGAAGGTAAAGATGAGGAAAAATCTGGGTGCAAATGATCATTGCTGAATTAGGTATGATGTTTCACTGCATAAGAAAATCAGGAATTATGATATTTTGGTTACAAATTTCAGAAAAGTACATTTTGAAAGGATTCAACAAAAATTATCTGTTGTCAATTGGACAACTGAATTAATTAGATACTGATAAAATATGGAAGATTTTTGAAAATAGATTTTTAAATATTCAAGATAGGTAAAACTTTCCCATAACTGATATAAGACTAAGAGACATGAGAGAGGAGTAACATTCTTTAAAAATGTTACTGGTTATGTATTTTAGGGTATGGATTTTGTGTATTTGGATTTATAGGAAGCATTTGAAAAGGTGTCACATGAAAGGCTTGTTAGAAAAAAATCTATAGGTGAGAAGGGATAAGTTGGCTAACTAGACAGAAAAGTTGCTTGGTGGAAGAAAGCAGAGGTGTTGTTATAAATAGAGTTCAATCAAACTGGATTAAAGTCACAAGAATATAATGTAAAATCCTATTTGCCTTACCCCTTAAAACAGTACACTGCTTGGATCTACCAGAGCACCAATATCCTTTTCTTCCATAACACTTATAAGATTATTTCTTTCAAAATTATACTCATAATTCAAATCATGCTGATCCACATGCATTACTTTGCATTTATTACATTTAAAAGGCATCTGTTATTTATTTGCCCAACCCCCTGTTGTTGTTTTTTTAATAGTGTAATTATTGGAACCTCCCAAACCATCCAAGAAGACACATTAAACTACAGCACCATTACTGTGATCGGTGCTACCTGTCTCATAGCTAGATTTAAAATCCACCATGATTTCTTTTATTTGTTTTTATTTTATCTATTTATTTATTTATATTTTTTTCACAATACACATAGTACATGAGCAGGGTGAAGAGATAACATTTCTGAACACACCCGATTACTTTTGACCCTTGGTCAAAGTTTATATTTAAAGTTAATTTGGCCTGGGGTTAAAAGGTTTAAATCGAAATAACTGCCACGGTAAACTAAACTAAACTTTGCCCAACTCATCAACTGATCCAAATCCTTTTATAAAGTTTTACAATCCTCTTTATAGCAAGCAACATCTAAGACCTTAATATCATCAACAAATTTAGGTAAAGTATTGACCATTCCTTCACCTATGTCACTGATGTAAATCAAAAAGAGCAAAGGCCCAAGTACAAAGCCCTGGGGTATCCAATACAGACATATTATATGGAAGTCTTAAGAGGTTATAATTTCATTGTATATACGTCAGGGTTTCTCAGTCATTTGCACCTCAAGGTCTACTTAGTTATTTGATATAATAGTAAAGGCCCACATTGCATTTCATGACATACAAATTTAAAGCAGTTGCATTTGTCCCAGCCAATGGTGACCCATAAAAGCACATTCCATGGCCTAGTGGTTGAGAATCACGGTAATAGGTCACTAGTTAGGCCATATTTGGAGTATTGTGTTCAGTCTTGGACTTCTACTTTAGGAAGAACATTGAATTATTGAAAAGTGCTCAGAGGAGGGCTGCTAGGATGACTCCTGGGATGGAAAGGTTGTCATATCATTACTGATTAAAGTCTTTGAAATTTTTCCCACTTGAAAAAAAAAGTTAGAAGAGATCTGATTTATGGTGTTTCAGATCAATAAGGGAATGTATAGTGCTGATTTGCCTTTTTTCTTTTTCTTCATTCTTAATAATGAAAATGGTAGGACTAACAAACATGAATATAAATTTTGGCACACAGCCTTAGATATGGGATCAGTCAACTTGACTGAGCCTGTGAAAAGATGGTTAATTAAAAATCATGCTGTAACATTAAAGGATTCGTTTTGCTATGATTAATTTTTTCTTGAAAGATATCTATAAAAATAACAGTTTCACACTTAATCCAGCCTTGCCACTAGGACAAACCACTGCCAGTCACAGTGACCAATTATTAATTATTTTACTGGTTACCACACAAAATGAATTGGTCATTGCCTGATACCTGTTCACAATTAACTCTTAATATACCAGTAAATATACATATGTTTGTTAATGCTAAGTTAGTGATTTGTTTTTGTATCATTCACTTTCAGTAAGGCTCATATATTGTACTTAAATTGAATAATTTTATGTTTTTGTCTTTTAAAACACTAACTGAAAAAACTGTTAAAAAAAAAGAATTGGGTGAAATCACTCATTTTCCACGTAAAATACATCATAGATCCCAAAGTTTTAGTGGAATTAATTTCAGTATTAATGTTATTTTTGTTTACCCCATTGATTACGGCTGCTCTAAACATGAGTGGAATTTTTACAAGCCATACACCATATATGGCACACTCGCATTCAACTGCCGGAGGTGGACTGTACCCTATAAGGCGAATCAGCAGTCTGTGGGTTAAATCTTGTGCATCTTGTATGCTATTAAGGACCTTGTGATCAACAAAGTCATGGACCACAAGCAATTTGGTACATAAATAGTTTAGAAAAATGTTTTCTAAAAGCTAGTAGGGTCCATTTGGATTCCATTTGTAATTCTAGGGTTAACAAAGAGAAGTTAGATTCTCATCCAGTGGATGTGCTTGTATATAAATGGTTAAAAAAGAAATTCTATGTGTTCTGATAGTAAGCAGGTGATCACAGTTGTTTATTTTAAGATACCTCTTTTTTTGTTTTAGTTACTCAGTATGCTAACCATGCACGGAACATGATCCAGGAGATTGATATAGAACATTTTGATGGGTAAGTTGAATGGAGGCCAGTTGTAAGATGTAAAATTAATCGACCATTTTCTACAGAAGTTTGGAAGAGATATTCTTTTTATTCTAGTAAAAACACATTTCATTTTGTGTTTGTACTTATTCTCTTAGATCTTGTCATAGAGGTTCAGTACTTTAGTATCTGAAGAGCAGTTAATAATGTTTTAAACACATTCTACATGTGATCTACACTTCTTAATGTAATATTGACCAAATCTTTCAGTTAGTAAGTACATTTTACAATATTGTTTTACCTATGATTTCATTTCCGTCTGTTGACACATTTTTTGTTTGAGGTCTTGCACATTTGTAGCATTTGGTTGTTTTAAACTCTGAGGCTTTATCACTTTCGGCTGATCAAAGAACTAATTTTGACTAATTCGTTAGACTTGAGCCTTTTTACATTCTTTGGTCTGGTGTGTTTAGTCAACTGTGGTTCAGCTATATGAATATCAAGTGATGTGTTCTAGGAGTGCACTCATTTGATTGTTTGACATAATTAATGCCACATGTCATGGTTCTTTTCCTCTCTTTAACAAGGTTATCCCAGTTGTGTTTTTGCTTCTACTTTTGGGATTTCTAACATTACATCATTTACCTGTCTTTAAAAACACATTCAAAAGTATGAAAAATTAACATCATTAGAAACAAAAAGTCTAGTAAAGAGGACAAGGAGGGAAAAAAAAGTTAAAATGTATCAAAATCATCTAACCTAAGTTGTTTTTGTTTTTCATTGTAAGAAACATTCCATGAATGGAAAGACAAGTTCACATTGTTTAACATTCCTTGCTAAATATAGAAAAAATTTCAATGTTTGTGAAAATATTAGTCTGAAAATTTTTATGGAAAGTGTAAAACATTTTTAATAGTTTAGACATAAAAAATTAAATTAAAATAATATTAAGAAACTTTGAGAAGGTTATTTGAATAATAAAGAAATGCTGAATAAATTACCACTGCTTTAATAATAGGTTTATGATAATTTAGATATTTTTATGGTAATTTGTTAAACAATTTATAAATACTGTATGTAAAGTGATTGTTAAAACTAAGTAAAATTGGAAGCTGGTGAACAGTACAATCCCATAATCCTTGAAAGCACAATGGAGGTAATTACATTACCAAACAAATGAGTGTAAACAACCTCAGTCATGAAAGGATTAAACTTTAATTTTTCTACATCTAATTAAGAAATGAGTGTTATTTTATCTTTATAATATGTTATGATTGAAACTTTGTAATTTTAGCCATTCTGGCTTAAAATAAATTGACATTTTTTTACTAGAACGTGATGATTATTTGTAGAATTGGTAAGTGTTCAATGCAAGGCCGTATGCTAGGATGCTACTTGTCTCCCTCCCCAAGTACTTTGAATTACTGTTATTGAAAGAGTTAATTATATAAGAGTATAATTGATGGAAAGTACAATAGCTTGGAGCTTGAGGTCTACCAACATTGATATTTAGGGTACCTATGAAACTGTTCATGAAGTGTTTTTGTCTTGTGCTGAAATTGCATTGTTTATGATGAAGCATTGTGCATATTTACAAAATAATTTTTTTGATGTTTAAGTATATGATAATTCTGCTGTTGCATGGTATGTGTACTGGAAGTAATGACATTTTTATTGCTAAAGTTGTGTTTGCTTCTTTTGCAGTGTAGTGTGTGTTGGCGGTGATGGGATGTTCAGTGAACTTTTAAATGGTCTCCTTGTGAGAACCCAGAAAAAAGCTGGAGTTAACTATAACCTGCCGAGCAGCTCTCTTGTTACACCACTGATCTGCTTAGGGGTTATCCCAGCTGGCTCAACAGATGCTGTAACATACTGTACAACTGGAATAAATGATCCTGTTACTTCCACACTTCTTATAATTATGGGTAAATAATTTTTCCTTGTTTCTCTTGAGAAGGAAGGAGGGAGTTATGTAGATAGATGTGAAGGATGGATGGAAAGATAATTCAAATTGTTCATCAAACATCATCTCTGTTTATTTTCTAGTGATTATATTTGTTAAGGCTTATGTTTCAAATGTCAATTTAAAACAAAGAATTGCTTATATCAGATTAGTTTGTGAGAATGATGGATGTATTTGTTTTGTCCTGAGAAAGTTGTTACCAATCTTTTTCTACACGTAGACAATTAACTAAAGTGTTATATGAAAATGTAAGTGTAAATTTTAGGAAATTTAATGATCACTGTTTGTTAAATCATGTAAAGATGAAAATTATGTTACCAAAATTATCATGAAAGTACAATGTATTAAGCTAAACAAATATGCATAGATGGCAATAGGACAGGCATTTAACTTAAATGCAGATAAATTGACATAAATAAATGTATAAGTATCTTAATATTTCAAAGAAATAATTTGATGATTAAATGAGGAAATCACAACACATGAAATGTGTTTTAATTAAAATTTAATTTTAATTAAAAAATGATCAGTAGGTATATATTATTGCATTTTAGTGATAAAACGTTTATATACGTGTTTTATCACAATAATACAATAATATATATAGACACATACAACGTAATAGATACAGGAAAAAACATTTTCTAATATATATGTTTTAATATTTATTTTTAAAAAATGGAAGAACCAATTTTGTCATTACTTGTTATAGTTTGACAAATGTTTTACAAAAACATTAAATTTATTAAATTCTACATAAATATGTATTTATTTTATTTCCAGTGAAATTGATTTGAGAAACTTTTTTCAAGCATCATTGTTAGATTTAACATACTTTGTGTATTGTGAAATTGAGAATACACTTTTCTATTAAGCTTCAAAGTGATTACTTTTTTTAATGTTGTAAACTGGGTGTAAAACAGAACTACCATAATTTTATGACAGTATGTGTCTTATTAGACATAGAAATGTTGTCAACAGTATGTAAAAAAATTAATGGCTATTGAACACGTGTGTGTTTTTCTCTGACACACCCTGTTGTAGAATTTAAAATTGAAATCTGTCAAAAGTGTACCAGGTAAGTTTACTGTTGGTCATCAGAGTACATGGAAATGTGAATTTGTGAGTTTCTGTGAGGTCTAGTCAGTTTTAAGTTTTATCATTATTGTTAAAAATATTTTTAAATTTTTGTGCAATCTAAAACTATTAATTTTTGATTACTTTAGCAAAGATTGTTTTAAAACAATTAAGTGCAACTAAAACCTTTTCAAGTAAAAAGATAATAGGCAAAACTACACTTTTGTTTGTCAATTTGAGTTGCATCTAAACTGTAAAGACATTGTACCCACTCCACATTGTCTTATCTGTATTGTTTAACATCTCTGTTTGAAGTTGTTTAATTTTTGTTAGTAATATTTTTATTACTATCGTGTCCTTATCCACACGATGTGGATTCAGCTTTGAATTCCTGTAGATGGGAGGTTCTGGAGTGACCCCTTCAGGGTTAGTTAGCAGGTCAGTTGTGGACATTATGTTTAGTGCTGATATTGCTGACATTGCTACACTGTCCTCAACATGGGAGAGATATTTTAATAGGGTAGCACATCAATCGGCACATTCCCTTTTAGGGCTTCATGGCAGGTGGAGTCAGTAGGCATTGAATTTTTCACTTCATGATTGTTTAAAATCATAAGAACTGACTAACAGTCAAGCATCCATGCATTGTTTACTATGCAGGTGAAAAATCACCTCCTTCTGTCCCTGTACTATAATTTCTGATAGTTTATTTTTTATTTTTGTTTTATCAGAAACATTATCAGGTAAGCTTTCTCCTCCTTCCATAAAGAATGCTTGCTGCCTCTCCAGAGTTGGTCGAAAAGTTACTATTTGGGAAAATGCTGGTTGAAACAAATGACCACCATGCTATAAGTTCCTCTTGAAAGCAAAGATTATTGGGGAATACTCATCAAGGTGATTTCTCACACTACTTTTAATTCCTTAAGGAATCTTTTTAACACATCAGAGTTGAACAAGGAGTTTCAACTCTTGGACTAATCTTTACATGGTATCCTCGTTCATGGTGGACATCTGACTACCGAAAGGCATGAAAGACTCAGAAACGAGCTATGGATATCATCTGTAGATATCCTTCTTTTACCAACTGCATAGCTTTCCAGAAGGCTTGTACACATTTTTAACAGATCAAATATTGGAATCAGGAGTCATGAATTAAATTCCCTTCCAGTATTTCAAGGTCATTTGGAACAAGATTCCAAATGCGAATAGGTAGCATATATACCATCCCTTCTCAATTGTGTAACTCAAGACACAAGTTGAAAAACCCCACCATCTTTTTTGATCTGATTGTATTTATGACTCTAAGTGACCATTTTCTTTGGATCTTAAACTTGCTTTTCATTAGTCTGGTATTACATTAGTCAGAGCAGATGACTTCCATTATGAGATGCTGTATCATCTTTCTTCTGTCTCAGTCAATCTTCTTCTGGTTCTATTTGTTTGGATTTAGCAAGAAATGAAGTTTCAAAACCCAAAATGTTTTCTGATTATCTAATTATAGACCTATTGATTTGACTACCTGTCTACAGAAAGCTTTTGAAGGGATGATTGACGTGTGGTTCCTTAAATCAAGCTTCTTCCTCTCCAACATCCAGTGTAGTTTTTATAGACAGCATTCCATCTTGGACCACCTTATTCAATTATTCAACTGGAAATGCAAATTAGGGAAGCCTTTCTCAAGATGGAGCATCTTATTTGATCTTCAAAAGGCTTACAACAGTACATGGAGGTTCAGTATATTACAAGACCTCCATTCATACAGATTGTGTGACCATTTACCTGTTTTTATCATAATTGTTTAGCATAGAGGTCATTCCAGGTCCACATGGGATCAACACTATCCTGATCTTTACCACAGGAGCTTTACGTACCTCAGGGGCTATGACTTGGGTGTTGCACAACATTAAGCTCAATGCCTTCACTGAAATGCTTCTTCTTATACTTGCGAATAGCCTCTATGTCAGTGACTTTCAGATTTAATATCAATCATTGAATGTGAGGCATATTGAGGAGCAATTCTAAACTGCTCTTATTAAATTGTGAGTTGATGATCACTCCAAATAGTTTCAGAATTTCATCATCTAAAACCATTTGCATGCATTTCTGCCATTCAAGTTCCATCTGGGAGGTGCACAAATTCCTGTGGTGACTGAGACAGAGTTCTTAGGACTTCTCTTTAACAATAAGCTGATTCTTATTCCACATATAAAGCAGTTTAAAGTCAAGTGTACAAGTGCACTGAATATCCTTTGTCATCTATTTCACTCCTTGGGGAGCAGGTAGGTTTGCTATATTCAAGATCTATCATATCCTCATTCGATCTAATCTAGACTAAGGGTATTTGGTCTATACCTTGGCCAGGAACTCTGCATTGAAGAAGTTGGATACTCTGCATCATTAGAAACTTCAGCTCTGCACAAATGCTCTTCACACTTCTCAAGATTGGAGTTTGTACACAGCATCTTATGAACCCTCCACTTCACTTCAGATGCTTGCCACTTTCTTTGCAGTACACTGGATAGCTCCAATCACTGTTATAACATCCCTTTTACCTGTGTGTCTTCAAGTCTCAGTGGTCTCTGTGTTTTACAAACAGATAATCTGATGTTCTAACTTCAGGCCATTGTATCCAGGCAAAGTTGACTGAGATGGGTCTGACATTGGATGATTTTGGTGAATAAAATCAGCCCATCCCATGACTTACTATCCTCTACTGCAATCTTTTGGCACATGAAGAAGTTGGATACTCATTATTGGAAGTATTGTCTTGTCTTTAATGAGCACCTTTTGAGCCACATTCCATTCCCATTTATATAGATGGTTTGAAATTAGGTGACTGTTGGCTCTGCAGTTATTTGCTGTATCTCTGTAGTTCCTCATGGGCTCTCTGCTACAGATTCTGTGTTCACTGCTGAGTTGTATTGAAATCTTGCTTGTTCTCAATTATGTAGAAATTAAGAAGTACACTAATTGTTCCATCTGTGGTTACTTGTTTAACTGTTTGAAGGCCACGAAAATCACTAAATGTCAGTTCTTACCCAGTTATCCTGGTCATTTAGAAAAGATTGGCCCATTTCTCAATACTATCTGTTTCCAATTTTTCTGGATCCCTAGCCATGCCAGAATCTGAGGGTATGAACATACTGACAAATTGGCCTTTAATAGTGATATTACAGCCTCATATTTTCCATATTTGCATTTCAATCCAGTCATTAAGAGGATTTAGGGTTAGTTACATTCAAATAAGCTTTTCCAGATAACACCTATCAATAATTGGCCCTCTAGTTGCAGTAATTGCACAAATGATATTGTCCTCACAAGGCTCTGCAGTGACCATAATTTTATTACTCACTTTCTTTTACAAGGGAGTGAACTGCCAATGTGTGAACTGTGTGAATCTTGGTAACATATGTCTACATATTGCTTTCCTGTTGTTGCTATAATACCAAAAGGTAGCACCATTTTATATGTATATCTAATTGTGGTATTTCTTTCAACCTGGCTTGTCGTTGGTAATGATGATACTATCAAAGTCAACCACGATTTCTAGTTTTTTATAGGCTATAGGCCCTTTTCAATTCTATTTAATATTTTAACATTATATAAAGTAACTTTTATGTTTTATGTTTTTATCTTGTATGCTTTTCTTTCATCCTTTTATTGTTTTATTATACTTATTGTTTAAAAAAAGAAAAGGCTTAACCAGTTGTTTGGTGCAAATGGCTTATATGACTTTTTGCCAAAAAACTCCAATTATCTGTGTCCTTCAGGTGCCAAACTGAGCATTGACATTTGCAGTATCCATCATGATAAATACTTATTGCAGTATGCTACATCATTTCTGTCATATGGTTACTTTGGTGATACTCTTGTGGACAGTGAGAAACATCGGTGGATGGGACCAAAAAGATACGATTACTCAGGTAACATTAAGCATAAGTTATGTAATAGGATGACTGAAGATTGTTAAAATATCTGAAATAAATAGGAATATTTGTTACAAATATTTTCAGGAAGTAGTATGTCATGCACATGAGATGGCTGGAGCTACTTGTGGTTCAAAAAACAGCCTATAGTATGGTCAAGAAAATGAGTTGTATAATTGTATAAGTAGAAGTATTTAATATATATAAATGGGACTTGTTGTGAGAAATTGAAGAGAGCTGCGTGAATGCTAACATGTTTGATTTTGTAGATGAATAGTTAGATCAACTTTACCTTGCTTATTGAAACTGTTGCCATTAAAGTAAAACAGACTTATTCAAATTCTATTCAGTATCTACAGTTTATCCTGTAAATTCTAGTGAAGTGAAATGTCTTACTTTCAATGTAGTTAAAAAAAAATATAAAATATACTTTTCAGGGTGTTTTTTAAACATCGAGAAGGTAGTTTATTTTTAATGCTATTGAAAATTTAGAATATTTTATTAAACATACTTTTGTGATTGAACATAACATCACTGAATGTGGTACCAATATGCTTATTTCTTTTGTTAATATTAAACTAATTTTGTCCTTTGCTGTCTTCTCATTTTTGCAGTTGCACATGTGTTGTAAAGATATACGCATCTATGCCAGACATGCATGACTGTTCATATTAAATTTAATACAAGAGTTATGATTTAGGTAGTTATACAGCATGAGTGTTAAATTTAGTATTTTTAGAAGCTATAAATTGTCACATATTTGTTTACATAACTGTTTATGAATCATTTGTTGTGTAGTTCAATTGTTGTTAATTGACGTCACGTTATTCAAACCTCTGAATTTTTCTCATTGCTGTAAGTGAGTATTGTTACATCATAACATCATCACGTTATTCAAACCTCTGAATTTTTCTCATTGCTGTAAGTGAGTATTGTTACATCATAACATCTTGTTGTTTGTAAAACAGGGCAATATATATATATATATATATATATACCTTCAAAAGATATTATCATATTAATAAAACAATAATGAATTTAATATAAATTATGCCTTAAAATTATTTTGTACAGTCCACATTAATTTGCAGTCATAACCTTAAAGTCATAACAGAAATTGTATGTGGTGATAGCTCCTATTTGATTTTCCATGATTACTAACTAGTTTTTCATCTGCGTTTGGATTTTGTCAGACAATTTCCTTTATGACTTTAAGGCTACGACTGAACATTAATATGGACTGTACAAAATAATTTTAAGGCTTAATTTATATAAATAGGCAACCAAGTTAGTACAAGTAAGTAAATTAGTGAAAGTAAGACAAAATTAGGGAGAGATACAGTCTAATAGATCTAGACTGTGTTTGTAAGTTGAGCCATAAAGAATGTATAGTGGCAACTTTTAAAGTGTAATAATTGCAGATTGTATTGTGACAACAGAGTAGAGAAGAATTATTCATCTTGTCAATTGAGTTCTGAAGTAGCTGAACCAACCTGTGTGGATTTTTGATGTAAAAGAGAATTATTTAAACCTCTGGTTACAACTACAGTAATTCTCAGGGTAACATAGGTGAATTTATCACAGATTTTATTGTGAAAACAGAATAGGAAAGAATAATTCGTCATGTCAATTGTGTTCAAAAGTAACTGAACCAGCCAGTGTAAACTTTGACGAAAAGAGACAATTATTTAAAGCTCTGGATACAACTGTGATGATTAACTGTGTAATGAACATTTGTATATACATTTCACTTGTTTTCAATATATAAACAAGTGGATTGTGTGCTGTCTGTTTATTGATGAAATTTATTGCCAACAAGTCACTGACACCTACTGTAAAGAATCCTGTCCATACACATACATAAAAACCTAACAATCTAGGTCAATCAAAAGTAACATTATAAAACTCTCAACTTTCAATGTTTTTCAGTCTTTTACTTGTGGGTTAAACCAACTCATTTTTACAGTTTTCACACATAAAAGTTTTTACCTTTTTTGTGTGAAAGTTACCAAGATGCTCTCATTAAGATGGTTGTATTTTCTGAACCCTCTGGTAAATATCAGTCTCTATAACTCTCTTTGAATTTTTAATGGTGTTCAAAACACTCAAATTTTAAAAAAAAATTGTTTATGTTTAACTTGTGGTGCACAATGGTAATTAAAATGAGATTTTAAATTGTCACTATCAGTCTTTTTGTTTTTTGTAATATTGGAAAGCCTATCGAATTTGTCAAAATTGGCATGCAATTTATTAAAATCTTTGTTATTGACTTAAGTTGCTATCTAGTTGTGCTTATGGAAGAATTATATTTGAATAAAGTAGTTGTACCATCTAGTAATTTAAAAAAATCAACTAGTATGCTCTAAATGGGTAATTGTATTATATTGCTTCATTGGTCTTACAATGTGCCTCTAGAACCATTGCATACACTGAAGGCATATCTAAGCATGATTTTAAATTGAAAAATTAATTTTGAAGCAATCATTAAATATTTTAATTAAAGAAAGGTAGCAACTTATCTGTCAGCTACAGTTGAAATAAAGATATTACAGACTTTCAGCCCATCTTGAAAAATCATAATTTAAGCAGATCATTATTATATAGTATAAGTCAATGAAATTGGTTAGCAGTGAAACTTATGATATTATTTGGATATATTAGGATGTAAGAAGTTTCTTCAAGGTCAACTTTACGAAGGAGAAATCAAGCTAGCAGTTACTAGTGTTGTTGACTCTCAAAATGACAAGGACAGGTGTAGAGCTGGGTAAAAAAAACTGTTACTGTCTAGAATGTTTTTTCAGTCTGTGAATCATGTTGTGAAAACAAAAGGTGCTTAATGTAGAAGTAGTTGTAAAAATTTTTATTGGTAAAAACAGTGGATACTTGTTTTCTGCAAGAATGGAACTGCTGATTTCTACATGAATTAAGTTTTCCTTTTCCTGACATTGTGAATGAAAAGTAAACTAGATGCATGTTGCTTTTAATTACAGTGAAGAAATCAGTATTTGGTATAGACTAGTTCCTCCTAAAATAACTGACATTAAAAAAATATCATTTAAAATATTGTTTAGAAAAACATAGTCTATTATTTGTTAAAAGAATTTAATTTTTACAGTTACAAATAATATTGAAAAAAATGAGATGTTGATTTTTGTAAGATAGTTGAGTTAATGCACTTTAGGTTTACCAGTAAGTTTCACGAATGATCCAACTAGTTCATACTGCTTACAAAATTAGATATAATTTTGTTTCTCTTGTGCTGTTTTTACATGTATTACATTTTTCAAATTTGTTGCCATCATTTATTAAACCTTTCCAATGTTATCATTCTTAATCAAAATTGCTATTTACAACTTAAATATGATTTTATAATAAAGTCTATTTTACGAGATTAACATAAAGTGTATTATTCTGACATATGACCTAAAACTCTTTTTTTTTTATCAATGTTCTTAAGTAACAAGAAAATAAATATTTGTAGACATCTGGTTTGTTACAAATAGTTGAAGACAATAGTGTTGATTAATATATAAACTTATGATTTATTTTATGCTACCAAATGTGTATAAAGATTCCAAATTGTGTCTGTGTGATATGTATATTTTATGTCAACCAGATGCAAAGTATGTACAACAGTAACCAGGACAGGTATAGATTCAGGAGCAGAAGGCATTAAACAAGACAGTGGAAAGGATCCAAGTAAGTTTTATCGTTAGTGAAGAAGAAATGGAGTAGAAACACTGATTTTTATGGAAGTAAAACTCTGATTGAAAAAGAATGTAAAAAAAACTTTTTTCAAATAGGTGTTGAAATATAAAACAGTAACATTTTTATTTTATTTAGCAAAATGGATGGTTCAAATAACTTTGTTTTGTATTCAACTTTTCTTCTTGTAAGTACCACCAACAAAACTGGGAAAAGTTGTATGTGGTGATGAAAATAATGTGATATTTTTGTGTCAGTTTTTGTTGGTTCTATTATTCTGTAATATATCAAATGCATGCAAAATTTTCAAAAATGTTTGTCTTGCAAGAAAACAAAATAAATATAAAATAAAATAATTTAGTACAGAAAGAAGCAGTGAAGTGCAATAAGATATGTAAAAAAAAAGTTAAGGTTTGATTCTTTTTTTAACTCTTCTGGTCATTCTTATCTTTCTTGGTCAGCTTTTCAAAAAAGTCCATCTTCGAAGGTCCTAATAAATGTGATCTAAAAATCTAGATTCATATTTAAGATTTGTAGAGAGTGAAAAATAATTTTTAACTTTATATGGAATTTTGTTTGCACTGATGGTCATTATGATCATCACTGGACTGCAAACAACAAATGAATTTTATAAAGTGAATAATATTTTATTTTAATTATTATTCAGAATATCTGAAGGTCAGAGGGAAATTTATTGCTATTAATGTGGCCACGATGACTTGTCGTTGTGCCATGACTAAGGATGGAATTTCTCCAACTGCTCATCTAGGAAATGGATGTACTGATGTTATTCTTGTGACAAAGTGCTCCCGGTTAAATTTTTTACGCTACCTGTTCCGTACAGCATTCCATAATGCTAACCCAGTAGGTAGTTAGTGTTGAACAGCTTTTATTAATGAGTTACTTCCTAAACAGTTTGTATATTACCAAAAATTCTAAATATATATGTGAATAAATTGTATAGAAGATTTTTTTTTTCTTTCTGAAAATGTAAATGTTTTGTGTTTGTTGTTTTATTAAAGGAATGTGGTAAGGTGAATGAACTTTATAAAAGAAATGTATTATTGGAGCTTAATATTGGTCAATATGCATATCTATTTAAAAAAGACACATAAAAATCATGAACAGGTTTATTATAATATTAGATGGCCTATTCTAACATCCATAACTTGATTATAAATTACTGGTAAAGTATAACATTTGGTAGAAATGGTAATGAGACAATGGAAGAAATAGTGCCAAAAATTATGATCAGGAAGAGTTACTGTTCATGAAACATGCATACTGACTGGGAAGTCTATATAACCGAAATCATGTATATCATAATTTATTCTGCCTTTAGAAATGGTAATGAGACAATGGAAGAAATAGTGCCAAAATTATGATCAGGAAGAGTTACTGTTCATGAAACATGCATACTGACTGGGAAGTCTATATAACCGAACTCATGTATTTCATAATTTATTCTGCCTTTAGAAATGGTAATGAGACAATGGAAGAAATAGTGCCAAAATTATGATCAGGAAGAGTTACTGTTCATGAAACATGCATACTGACTGGAAAGTCTATATAACCGAAATCATGTATTTCATAATTTATTCTGCCTCTAGAAATGGTAATGAGACAATGGAAGAAATAGTGCCAAAATTATGATCAGGAAGAGTTACTGTTCATGAAACATGCATACTGACTGGGAAGTCTATATAACCGAAATCATGTATTTCATAATTTATTCTGCCTCTAGAAATGGTTCTAAATCATAACAAAAGCAATGACAATAACACTGAGGTAACTTAAAAATTCTGTTGATATGAAACTGGCAAGTGAAGAAGATCATGCAGCAGTGAGGCTTAACAAACACTATTGGTTGCTGACGTAACTCGTAACTGTTCCTCACAACATCCATTGAAGTTGTGAAAGAAATTAGACAAGTAGTGGTTCTAATTGAAGAAGGAAATGTCCAATAGGAATGCAGAACCAGTCAAGCTCGCTAGACTTGTTTAATGAACAATGTGGAAGTTCATAAGTAAGACACTGAAACTGTTCCTACAGATTACAAATCATCCTTGAACTACTGCCAAGAGATTCACTCTGATCCCTGACTCGAGTAGAAATCAACTCATTTACTTAGACAACATCTTATGGAATGATTATGTCAGATCAACATTTGTAACTGTGTGTAATCTGAAAAAAAGAGCAGATACTACTCTTGCTGCTTTATCTATTAGGTGTGTAAGTTATGGATTTACTTTAATGTGTATGATACCTTGAGAGTCCTGAGAGATAGCATAGACACCAAGTAAATTACAATTGTAGAAAATCAAACAGTATTATCCAGGTATTATGGGTTTTTTTCACGAATGCAAGCAATATTTTACAGTAATGGTGGTCACACAGAAAATGGTTAAAATGCTGACTGAGCAAATTTTGTGACATCACCTTCTGGAAGTAATTATTTTTGGCACTTGAATTGTCTTTCCAATTATCTCATTAACTAATCTACCAAATACTATGTGTTTTCAAATTATGGATGTTACAACTAGCTAACTAACTTTATTATAACCCCATATTTTTTTCAAAGAGCAATTATTTGATTACATTTTTTATTCATGAAGAATAGTGATATTAATACAATACCCTATAACACAAACACTTTAAAAAAGTGCACCTATCAAAAGCACTTGAGCTTGAGTTATAGAGTAGTGTATTATTGTGTTAAATTGATTTCTTGAACCTGTGTGTTTTCCTTACATCATGAACAATAAAGACCTTTATTTATTTCTAATTATGCTGAATTAATATAATTAAGTATATTTTTTGTGTAATATGTGTGTGTGTACAAGTACTAAAACAAAAATTAAAGCTAAGTGTGTCTTACTGTGATTGTTTTAACAATTTAATTCATTGTTAACAGAACAGCTATATATTTAAAATTATTATTAATTTTAGTCAAAAATAGCCAGCAGAAATTAGTGAATGTTTCTTTCATGTAGACATTCAAAACAGTATTATGTTATTATTATTATGGCTTGAAGACTGCATGTTGTAAAACTGCATCATTGTTTAGAACTCGTAGGAAGATGAATAGCTGTGTCAGTTTGAAATTAATGTTGCAGAAATATATTGAAAAGTTTTGTCTGTTGTACAATTCTGTGTTCAGAAAATGTTATTCAAAAGTTAATTTACAATAAAAAAAAAAAGGTATACAGCCATGTTTTTTTTTGTCTGCCAGACTTGTTGTTGTTTGATTGTGAAACTTTCATTCACAATTTTACTAATAAAGGTAAATTATTTTCTATTCCTTCTCTACAGTTTGATTTTGACTTTGTACAATTTTATCGTGTTTCCGAGTTCCAGTTTTCACCCATTGAATATTCTTCACAAATAACATCCTCTGAAGATCAAAGTATTCAAGAAAATGAACCAAAGAAAAGTGTATGGAATTGTGATGGTGAAATTCTGTCTGAACCAACTATTCATGTGAAGTAAGTATATTTGAATACGTACCAGATTCCTGAGAACGTTTTGCTTTGAAAAAAAAATGTTTAATTCATGACTGATTCCTAGGAATAAGTTCTACTAATGAAGTGGAATGATAATGTATGAATCCATAAATTTTTAATTGGGATAAGCCTAACTACAGAAGTTTCTGATACAGATATTAATAGAACAGGTTAACAATTATACAAGCTAATATAAATTTTAATATGATCATTATGAAATAATCAAAAATTTAATGTTGTAGTTATGAAAATGGCATATTAACATATAAAAGTTTTTTTATTAACTAAGAACAAATTAAAAGTTTCATTTTCATCTGTAATCAGCTTATTTTGGACTAATCTTTAAGTTAGTCTAATTAGAAAAGAAACTTAAACACTTTAGATTGCTTGCATATAGATAAGAATTTACTTTAAGTCTTCTTACATCATAACATTAGCTTTCTACACAGTACTATAAATAAATTATTCTCATCGTGAAATTGAAAAAAGTTTTGAAACATTATTTGTTGAACTTTGAGAATTCACTTAATACTCACTAAATTTACAGAATTGTATCCTGAAAATTTTATTTTGCACCAGAAGTGTGACTGCTGGATGATTTGACAAGATTAGAATAACTATTTATTTAATTTGTAATTTATTTTGAATTCTTTTACCTTTATATTAATATAGTAAAATCAAAAACAATTCAAATGAGATACAGTGAAAACCAAACGGTAACACAAAGTTTTTGATGTTTCAGTGTTTGTTTTTTTATCACATCCAATTTTAGCTGTTTTTTATTTTACTACTGGCTTATTTAGGATATATTTTCCATTATTAACACTTTTTAATTATTCTTGTATTTATTATAACTTCATAAATTCAACTATTTCAGGGTCCATCAACAGTTGATCAACTTGTATGCATATGGTATAGAAGAGAGAGATCAACAGATCTGCTGTAATATGTGCTGTGGAAGCTGCAAGAATATGTGAAACTATATTGTTGGTTCTTGCAGAAGTGTAAAGAAAACAACACCTAAATATTAAAATGTGTGCATAGTGACAATGAAAAAATATCAGTCTCATGTTCATTAAATAATGTTCTTGGTCACTTTCATTACTACTTAACAGTTACAGTTGATGATCTTTGTTTTCCTCGCTTATGCATAAAATAACTTCATAGTTTGTTTTGAAACTGCTTCTACTTTTTGAAGTATTTAAGGTTAAATACCCCTCCCCCCTCAGTGGCTCAGCAGTAAGTCTACAGACTTAAGACACTTAAAAATGGGGTTTTGATACCCATGATGGATAGAGCACATAGCCCATGGTGTAGCTTAGTGTATAACAACAACCAAGTTAAGGTTAATTGATAAGTAAAAAAAAATCATCATTGATAACTAACTATATTTTCATGCTGTTTCACAGGTTTAGGTTTTAAATGCCAAAATGTAAGTTGTTGTTGTGTTTTTTTTTGTAGGTTCAAATTTCATTTAATGTAAATTTTGATTTCTGAATACACATCAAAACTCACTGAAAGGATTGGATAGTATTGATAATCAAAGTTGATTACCTGAATGTTTGTTGAAATGTAGCTGACATATTTTGCGAAAGGTAGTAAGTAGATTAAAATGTTAATTGTCTAAAAAGTTATTTTTATTCTTTAGATTGTTTATAGTAATGACCACTGATATTTTTTTAAAATAAATTTTGCTGTTTTCAGTATAATTCTACACATGGTTAGTTTATGTGATGCCCAATGATTAGTGTATTATTTGGTTTTCTTAATTCCTGTAAAGTTACTATGTATCAAATAATTTCAAACTTTCATCTAATTTGTCCCAATTTTGTAAAGTTTATACCAATGTTCTTATTGCTATTCCTATCATTCTGATTATCTAAATTGGAGAAAAAAGAATATAATATGACTTTTCATTCCAGAGAAATTTCTTTCAACTTTTGCTTCATGCAAAATTAGTTTGATGACAAATACTTTCATATGTCATGTGGTTATACATAGTCAAAACATTTTGGGTACGGTTTTTATCTCAGCATCATCTCAAAAAAACCTGTGGCCAAAGTAGTGAAATGAAATCTAATTAATTATGGAATAGAATTTATTTTAAAGAAATGTTAAAGGTGTGTTAGTGTGAAAATCTGTTAGGCCTGATTTACATGAAGACTGGTTAGTAATATTATTAGTATTCAGTGTTTAATACTACTTTAACTGTTATTTGTTAACTCATTATCATGTTTAGCTAAGACTACATTAAGTGATATAGTAATTTTAAGATAATAAGGTATTACTTTATTAACTTAGTATTTAAACATCCATTACTTCAATGAATAGTATTGGTTGTCAACTATTTTCTACTTGGTGAATGCTGTCTTTCAGGTGATTATTTTAAGCAAGCTTTAATATTTATATTAATTTTATGATATTAACTTACATCTGTATATCTAAATCTTTTAAAAATAATGAAGGTTTTTACTCATAATATTTAATTGAATATACTTATTTCAAAGTGTTTTATTTCTTTATGTATTGTTTTATATACTTGAAGAGTGTATTATCTTAACTCTTTATGAGACACAAAGTGATGGTACTTGAACTTGATAGATTTTAAGTGTAACATGCATTTTCAGTAGGTTTGTCATTAGACTTTATTGTTAAAGTTTTCAGAATTGTTGATATTTTACTGTTTAACTAGAATACAATGGTATAGTTCATACAGTATTGTACCCTGTATGGTTACAAGTTGAAACACATTGCTATGTAACCAAGGGCTGGAATTGTACATATCTATTGAATTCTTTGTCTTTTGTAGTGCAAACTAACTAAAATATATATTAATTATTGTTTAAGTATATTTACTTTAGAGGAATTTTAAAGATGTATATATATACATATATTCAAAATTATATGGGATTTGTACCTTGCTCATTAATTATAAGTCTCTGAATATGTAGTTGTTTTTTTAACAGCAGAATTATATCACTAGCTTAAAAGAGTTGACTTGTACTGGCTGCAAGAGAAAAAAATTTGGGTTGGTTGGCATTGAGATGACAAGAATGAAATACTATAACAAAGTTGTTGTTTTAATTAAAACTACATTATTAAAATATTTATTCAAAAGACAGCTGCAGTTCTGGACTCTGGAACTAAACTTTTAAACATTTGTGGTTCTTGGAATATTATCACAAAAGTGTTTTTTTGTTTTTAATCCTAGGTTTAGATTACAATTTACCTTTATTGTCTAGCCCAGACTGAGACTAACTAGTTATTTAGTACAAGTTCTTTGTAAATGTTAGTTTTCACTATATAATTTGCATAATATTTAAAGTTTTAATCTCTCTGACAAAACTTCAGCACATTCTCTTTACCTCATTCCTCTTATTTCTTTAAAACATTCCATTAATTTTCAATTCCTCGAACATATAAAATGTCAGATGTATGTTAGTTTCATTATACAGATCACACTAGTGAGTATTTTCAAGTGTCTTATTGAACTATTGTTGTTTTTTTTCTTGCTGGTAATAAGTATCATCAAGAAATATGTTAAACAAAACGTTGGTATATTTCTGATGGGCTTATTGAAGTTAATGAAGACTTGCACTCAGTAGATTAAAATATTACCAAAACAAACCACAGCAGTTGCATGAAATTCATTAAAATCTTTGAATATTGCAATCCTTCATCTAAGTTTCTTTTTTAAATAAAATAATAGTTTTTGTGTATGTAGAGATATTGAAAAAACAACACAAGAAGAATTCTTATTATTTTTCAAAGTATGTGTCATTTATGTTCTCTTACTTGTAATGAAGTGTATAAAGTTCTAAAAAGTTATGAAAATATTAAAAACAAAGCAGTATTTGTTTTTCTTATAAAACCGTTTGTGTAATCTATCATCAAAACAAGCAATATGCTCAGTGAAAATTAGAAATAATGTCAACCATAGTTAAAGTTCTACTAGAAACTTCCAACTATTAAACAGGGAGACGTACTTCTCTAGATGTACTTTCAAACATAGTGAAAACTATTATATTTAAACAATGAAATGTTTTTGTAGGATAGAAAGTAAGAAAAATCATGTCTAATAGGGTAATATATATATATACATGTTTGAAATTATAAATGATTTTCAACATTATTTCTTAATCTGTTTTAATTTACTGGACATGGTTTGGATGAATTGAGAACCTTATATGTAGATCATGTTACTGTCTACCATACAAAGCTGTATACAGTTTTACAAAGAAATATTACAAATTTGTTAAATTTTCAGTGGTCAAAACTTCATTACTTAGTAAGAAAAGTTAATAGTATTAGCCTGTATTTCTTACTCTCACACTAATTAAGTCGATGAGACGTAAGTATTATAAAGTGCCGTAAAGTTGGTGTGAAGTATAAAATAGTTATTGTATTTTTCCTGATTTCCTATGTGTAAGACTTTTTGAGATTTCTTAACTTCTCATAAATGTGTTGAACTGTAACAATGTAGCTCCTACTCATTATTTAAAAAGGCTTGTCGTCAGTAAACCCTCGTAGTGTTCTATATTAGAACTTAGCTGAGGTGGATTTGGAATTTTGAAACATAAACTATTTTTAGCACTGTTAAAATAAGATGGTACCAATGATCATTGCAAAGTCATTGTAAAAGTCCATTGAATTACCAAAATGCTTCAACATTTTGAATAGTTCATCATTTCCTGGTGAAAAAAAAAGAAGCCTACTCTTTATAGAGAACTTGATATCGTAGGTCATTTACAGAATAAGTACTGTAATATATTTCCAGGCCTTTAAAAGGGGTTAAAAAAATAATCCAGGATTTTTAATATATTTCTTCTTTAATTGGTGATTTTCCAAGCTTCATTTTCATTAAGAATGACTTGCTATAGATAAACTTAATAAAGCAAAACCACCTGCTAGATGTATGAATCATGAATAATAAGTTGTAAAAATGGGAGAAATTTTACAGTAAGAAAAGTTATTTCCTAGTGGGTCTTAAGGTACTTTGTAATAAGAACTTTCAGATCAATTTAAATGTGATATAAAAAAGATAAAGTTTGTAACTTATAAGGTTTTTAAATCTTGTATGTCTATTAATAACAATGTTAGTTTTAAACTTTATTTTTTTCTGTTCTTCAATGCTAAAGTTATGTCTAGGTAGCCATATTTAAACACGTGTTGTCAATGAACTTTAAAAAAATCTTTGTTTTTTTTTGAGATGTTCATAGTAATAACAAATTAATTTTCACTAGATATTGAAAAGGTGATTTATGTGATTAATTAGTGAGATTTCTCTGCTACTTGTCGCTTTCCAATGGATCATGTTAACATTAAGTGTTTAGCAAATTGCATATGTCACAAAGGCAGACTTGTTAAAACTACTAGTGTACCATAGGATAATGTTTTGCATGTCTGCTACTTTCCGTTTTTCTTCTGAGTATCCACAACTTACTCTACCAGCTTTGTCACCTTAGATATAAATATATTCACCAGATGGCAGCATTGCTACCAATGCTGAAAATGGCTAGTGTGCAGAAAATAAGAACTGGATCTTGCTGTATGTAGTAGGTTGACATTGACAAAGATATCAGCATGATGCAATCTTACCCAGTGTCTTTTAGGGTGCCATTCATAGTTAATACTTCTAAGTCAGATTATAACTGTGAAGGTTTTCAACCCAAATTGTTAATTTGTTGATATTTTGCCCCTCTCTCTTTAATATTCCGAAGGTTCAACAACATAAGGCAGTGAACTACAATTGTCTTTAGGTATTCGTGTATTGGATCCAAGATACAATATAATTTAGAGTATTTTTTATAATACCAAAACAACATAAAAGAAACATAACATACTGTATGGAAAAGTAGATGTTTCTGTAGTCACTTAGCAACAGCTATATACATTTGTTTAAGAACTGTACAAATCAAATATGGTTATTCCTTTGCAATGTATTGCACGTTATTATGTGTGTTTATCCACTAGTAACGTGTTGCATCACACCTACGTGTAAATTTATTTTTTTGTGAAGTGTCACACCACACAATAACAAGTATGCTTATTCACTTGTAATGTGTTACACGCCACATCAAGATATATGTTTATCCCTTTGTGTTGTGTCGCAACCACAATTTACATGTATGTTGATCTACTTGTAATGTGTTACATACCACCAGTTTTATTGATCTGCGTATAATGTGTCACACATCACATCATCATTTGTGTTCATTCAGTTGCTAAGTGTTATAAAGACAATGTGTACATTTATATATGTAAAAAAAAAAACTGAAGCCAAAAAACAACAATTATCTGACTAATTAAGTATTTTACATGTACTGGTATGAAGGTTTACTTCTTCACAGTAACAACCACAAACTAATTTGCAGGAAAACATTTATCCTTGGGTAATACTATGCTGCAACAAGTGCCGCCACCACCAGCTGATGGTATATTCCTTTTACAATGCTACATAATAAATACAAGTACTACTATAGTACAAAGAATATACATATATTTTTAATTGCTACATATACTCCTTTATAGTGCTTAATGAGTGCAAGTACTTTGTGTACTTGTTACTACACAGAAAAGCACTATAAAAAGATAAGCATGAGTGCAAGTACACAAACTTGTCTTTTTATAGTACTTTTGTGCAGTAACAAGTACACGGTTACTATTTTACAGTGCTACATAGTACTGAGTAATATAACAAATGTATCTCTTCATGGTGCCACTATTATGTAGCTGCAAACATTTACCCAGTGTTGCATATGTACATCAGTATTAAGTAGCAAAATGTATATGTTATCGTAGTGCTACAAAGTAACAATTATATATATATATAGAGAGAGAGAGTTCAAATTTGTTGGGACAAAAAATATAACTGAAAAACCGCCTATGAAACCAGCTTTTGGGTCCTTGTAACACCAACTGTTAGATCTTACCTTGTTAAGTATGATCTTGTAAAAAAAAGTGTCGAGACAAAATAATTAAGATACCCAGGACAACTTTCTCAGTTTAGTAGAACAGAGTTTTGAGGCCTGTGCTGTCATTTAAGTTTGTTGAATGCTACTAAGAGAGATTTGTATATATATATTTATGTAAGGGATAAAAAGCCCAAGTTTTATTAGAAGTGTTTTTAACCGTGAATGTCACCTTTCAAGAACAGCTCTACGTATACAACTGTAAATGAAAAATCGTAGCAGTTGCAAGATCCAGTGTTATCATATATATGTACTTTTAGATTGTTTAACGATTTGGCGCTATGTTTATAACAACATTGACCAGAACTGGGAAATCTTCAAACACTTAAATCGAGATGGCTCTTTTTTGTTTTCATAAATACTTTAGGAAGGCATGAAATAAGTAAACGGTCAATATTACCGAAAATTAGTCGTTTACCCCCTCCCCAGTGGCTTAGCGGTAAGTCTGAAGGCTTATAACGCTAAATACTTGGTTTTGATACCCGTGGTGGGCAAGCACCAATAGCCAATTGCGTAGCTTTGTGCTTAAAAAATAAACAAAGACTATTGTCTTTAGTTTTTAACACTTTCTACCGAAGCTGCTTTAGGGCTAAATTACAACGGTTTTATCGAACAGAACAACTTCTTAATGTTGATTTGATCCATTTGTATTTCAGCATTATTCTGAAAAAGTGTTGGACATTTGTATAACTTTTTTCTTATTAGCTCAGATTGGATTATTTATAATCTAAATAGTTTGTCACATGTTTAACCAGCATTATATATATATATATATATAGACACATACATACGAGATTTAAGCCTTTTTTTTCTTCTACAAAGTGGAAAATGGGATTATTTTGTATCGTACAGTAATATACGTTTTATGTTTTAATTAATTATATATGTATACATGAGAACAATGTAACTAATCCACAATTAATAAATGTCTAGTACATTGTTTACACATTTTGTGTCCAATTATCTTTCCAGAGAATGTAAACTGAATTGTCATTTAATATATTTTTTTTTCGGCTTGGTATGATTTGGCGGTTAAAAAAATTTAATTTGTCATTTAATTAGTTTTTTTTTCTAATTGTAAATTTTTTTGGCCTGGCGGTTAGGGCACTTACAATCTGCGGATCGCAGGTTCGAATCACCGTCGCCGAACATGCTCGACCTTCCAGCCGTGGGGGCGTTGTAATGTTATAGTCTATCCCACTATCTATTTGTTGATAAAAGAGTTGGCGGTGAGTGACTAGCTGCCTTCCCTGTAGTCTTTCACTGCTAAATTAGGGACAGCTACCCGGAAAGGAGGCGGGCATCAACACGTAAATCTGGCCTAGAACCGCCAATGATGCATAAGCAGTTAAGGTACCCAAACGATCGTAAGCGGCTTCAGGACTTAAAAAAAAAACTATCCTGAACGAGCTATCCTAAACAAACGTGTTATTATTTACTTAAAATTAGTAACGTTTTTAAAACGTCTTTCTGCAACGTATGTTTTTAGGGGAAAATTTCCCGAGAGAACTTTGTTATATACTTTTGGAGAGCCAATACATTTCATTTTCACACTAAGTGGGGGGAAAAATCACTTTTGTATCTAAGCAAACATTTAAACTTCAGAGGAAAACCGATATGAGTGGTTTGCAACGCGTAACGATTGAATATGAGTTTGGTAAGACAAAGAAAGTGTGGTTTGCAACGCGTAACGATTGAATATGAATTTGGTAAGACAAAGAAAGTGTGGTTTGCAACGCGTAACAATTGAATATGAGTTTGGTAAGACAAAGAAAGTGTGGTTTGAAACGCGTAACCATTGAATATGAGTTTGGTAAGACAATTGTTTGTTTGTACAAAGCTACACGAGGGCTATCTGCGCTAGCCATCCATAATTTAGCAGTGTAAGACTAGAGGGAAGGCAGCTAGTCATCACCACCCACCGCCAAGTCTTGGGCTACTCTTTTACCAACGAATAAGTGGGATTGACCGTCACATTATAACGCCCAACGACTGAAAGAGCGAGCATGTTTGGTGCGACGGGGATTCGAACCCGCAGATTACGAGTCGAGCGCCCTAACCACCTGGCCATGCCGGGCCTGGTAAGACAAAGAAAGTGTGGTTTGCAACGCGTAACGATTGAATGTGAGTTTGGTAAGAAAAAGAAAGTGTGGTTTGCAACGCGTAACGATTGAATATGAGTTTGGTAAGACAAAGAAAGTGTGGTTTGCAACGCGTAACGATTGAATATGAGTTTTGTAAGACAAAGAAAGTGTGGTTTGCAATGCGTAACGATTGAATACGAGTGTGATAAGTCAGAGAAAGTGGTTTATAACACGTAGTGATTGAATATGAATGTGGTAAGACTAATTTTGGTTTGCAACGCGTAACTACTGAATGAGTAATACCGTTTTTGTTTTGTTTTTTACCTCACACAAAGGTAAATGTTATTAACAGCTATCAAAAAGTATGTTATAAAAGTTCGGTGCTATGCGCGACATTAAACATAAGTTTCGCTTTGCTACTCGCTCACTTTAGCTCTCATTATTACGGTAAATTTGGAATGGCTGCCAAATAGAAACGTTCGTCCGATCGATTATTTATTTAAACTCTATCTTTTAAAGGGCCCACCTGAGTTTCACTAGCAAATCGGCTAAGCTAGCCCCTAACAATAACTTATATAAACACAAAATGTGTTCCGTTTATCAAAACCTTGTACGCCCGTAACACGAGTTATTTAGTAAATCTAGAAAAGGCCCGGCATGGTTAGGGTGCTCTACTCGCAGTCTGCGGGTTCGAATCCCCGTCACACCAAATATGCTTGTCCTTTCAGCCATGGGGGCGTTATAATGTGACGGTCAATCCCACTATTTGTTGGTAAAAGAGTACGGGACGGCTAGCATAGATAGCCCTCGTGTAGTTTTGCGAAATCCATAACAAACAAACCATAATAAATCTAGAAGACATTAAAGCAAACTTAATTTGCGTTTCATAGCCTAGCTGTCTGATGTATTGATAAAATACAAATTCCAATATGCCCTTATATATATACACACACGTACCAAGCCTGACCTATTGATTAACGTGTTTGGAATATGCATACGAGGATTCGTAGTCTGTTGCTTCAAGAATGCGCTTCGTACTGTGGGTTCTTGAGGTCATATGAAATTTTGCGGTTGGTGCTGTTCGAAATTGAGGGCGGCTATGCGCAGACAGGTATTTGTATAGCTTTGCGCAAAAATTGGTTTAAAGTCCAATTTCACTGTATTTTTACATTGATAAAAACAAAGCAATAACATTTTCGACCCCCCCCCCCTCCAAGAAAAATCAAAACAAACACATAAAACTGTTAGAATCATCTTAGGTTTGCTTTTCATATCCTTTTGTCAAAGACAACGTTTTAGGGTTAACTAATCCTATGTTTCAATGACGCTTCTGTTAGTCTATGCCTCAATGGGATTAAAACTTTCCCGTCTATATAAAAAAAAAATAAGGATTCCGTAGGTCCTTTCAGCAATTGTCAACAGGGAGAAAGTTCTACACTGTAAGTTATCTGGGGTGGAGAATATTTCATGAAGAACGTCATAACCGCTAATATTTAATTTATATTACTGTTAAATCTCTGACAGCCGCCAAACTGAATAATTCATTATTACAGTCCCATATTATGTTTTATTAATTATTGTTAACTAACTGGAGTACCCGTCCCCTGGACGGAAGTTATGTAAATTCATGATTAATGAAAGTTTATCTTAGGACATGAAAAGTTGCTTTCCTTATATATAATTGTAAAAAACGCCCATAATAACTAAAAAACGCTAAACCGTAAACTTGCATGTATCTCCGCATGGACCCAACAAACCATCATGCCAAAATCCATCAACAGGGGGCGAAGTAGTGGTAAAAAGCGCCCGTAAAAACAGCAAGACTGAAAATGTGTATGTATCTCCCCATGGACCCAATGAACCTCCCTACCAAATTTGGTAAATATCCAATCACAGGAGGTGAGGTATTGATAAAAATCGCCAATAAAGACCACAAAAGGCAAAACTGAAAATTTGTATGGACCTAATGAACCTCCATACCAAATTTGGTGAAGACCCATCCACACCATGCAAAGTAGTTACATGGACATACAACAGACAGCAGTATCATATTTCTATAGATATATATAACCATTGTAGCCATGTTACTAGTTAGATACGCTCTCCTTCAACGTTAATGACAGACAGACAGCGATCACTTCCGGGATACTACCGCTTAATCTGGCAGATTAGGGTTATTTGTACAATGTTCGGGAAACATTAGAACAAATAGATCTGTATAATGACTGAGGTACTTGCAAGATTAGGATGTTTCGTTGAAAAAGGGGACTGTTGGCCGAGTTGAATGTTTGTTTTTTCACTAGTACCCAGCTGGTATCTTTATCAGAAATTTAGAAAACTGTTATCACACCCCAAGACTACACGGGTACATGTTAATAGATCACACAAAAACCAACACTATATAAAAGTGTTAAGTGGCTAACTCCATTTTTGTATGCATTCAAAACATTCGTGAAAAGACGTTAAGAAAGACCGTACATTCTTTTCGCAGTCCAAAGAATAAGTGAACGAAAATGTGTCAGTCTCTCGGAGCTACCTCGGAACGCACGTGTGTGAGAGCTACCGTAGTGCCTTGTCCTGTATTCACCGTCGACCGCAGCCAGTGAGTGGTCAAAGCAGCCGACGATCGTTGGGCTGAGGCGCGGCGCCCTCCTGCCGCGACAATCTTTCGCCACAATCTCACTCTCTTATCTGTGGGTCTATCTTTCAAGCGAATTTAGCTGATCAGCACGAGTAAACTTATCCCGTTTTCTCTAGGTTCTAACTCGGTTAACTCGCACAGTGAGGGTGGCTTTTGAATAGAGCATACCAAGGGTCTCTATAAAAATTACGATGCCATCCCCATTTTTCAGGTTCTCGGATTATGGAAAACATTCTCACGTTGATCCTGTCTCG